ATTTATCTCGTTATTTTTAAGGAAAACTTTCAGCGCTCTAATTTTTTTTTTTTTTTTTGTACTTAGCTTTCATCTTTACGTTTACGATGCTTTATGGAAAATATAAAAAGAAATTAAAAAAAGACTGTTAAGAGTGAGATTAAATTTCATAAGAAAAGATATCTAATTAATTTATAGGTACCTTTCTTATGAAATTTTATCAGAAGTGTACATAAAATACTATAATTTTATGTACATTTATTACATTTTACTGTGTTATTTGTATTTCCATTCATTTTATTATTAATTTTGATATTTCATTTATGGAAAAATGTCATAACTGAGATTAATATAAAAATAAGATCATATAAATTTTTATAAGATGATACTGATACTTGTTATAGGTACCCTTCTCAGTTGAAATTGAAAAATCAAATTAACTTCTCCATACCTGTTTTTTTTCAAAAAAAGGCCTTAACAGCGGAGAACAATGCTTAACTCAAATAATGCAACTAAATTGTATTCTGGTTGGTCTTCCGTACTTTATAATTACAGCCCGATTATAAACACAAAATTACATTTCTTAATTACTGCGGATCTTCTGATTGGTCCAAATGATACAGTTTAATGCGCGCTAAAAAATGACAATCTCTCATAAGGACACTTTGAAAACTTGATGCGTTGCTTAACTAATTTTATAATATTTTTAAAAACTTAAATGTAAAAATCTATTATAATTAAAGAAATAACAAATAATTGTATTAAAATTCATTTTTCATTGAAAAATTTTTTTGCTTTCAGAAAATATTGTCCATATTCATAAAAACAACTAAAAAACAAATAAAAGCATTTGAAATTAAATAATATATTTGTTTTATTGAGTTTTGTATGTTACAATTCAGAGCTGATTTTCAGGTACGTTGGGGGTCCAAAAAAAAAAAAAAAAAACATGATTTGCATTCTTCAAAGCCTTGTGCTTTTAACTATTGTAATCACTAAACCCGATGCGATCGAATTTCTAGAGTTTTTCATAAAATTAGTTATGGGGTGTTAATAAATATAAAAAAAATTTTTCTGCCATGACTTTGATAAAAAAAAAAAACATTTATAATAATTTCGATCATCTGTGAATAGTTTCTGAAAATTTCATTAACATCTGACAATTATTTTTGCAAGATTTTCCAAATTAATGTTGTGTAATACAAAAAAAAAAAAAAGCGCTAAAAATTATCTATTTACTATCCCATGTTGCAACAAAGAGAAACAAGGTTTTTTTTAATCAAAATTTAGAATGTTCTAAAAAGAAGGAAAAATTTTAAAAAAATAATTAAAAAAAAATTTGGTCTTTCCTCTTCATAAAAACGTAAGCATTTAGACAATAAAATTTTGTTTTCATAAAGTTTGGCGTCTTTTTTCATCAGAATATGCTCTAATTTTTTGCGATTTCGTGGAGTTACCTATTTAAAAAAAACAACATCGTAAAAAAAACAATATTTTCTAAGTAGAGCAAAACCTAAGATAATTTTAAAAGCCAGGCAAACCTAATAGGTTTCACCTAAACAGATCTTCTTTTTTTTAAATTTTGCTGAAACGGAAAATTATGGAACAGTTTTTAATTGCTAAAAAAAAAAAATAAACATGAAAGGAATAATTTTTATTTTTTAAAAAACTCTCCTAATAACCAGCTTTTCCTATGCCGGCACCTAATAATAATTTCAAATTTTTTAGTTCAAAAAAATTTTCCTTGTTAAAAAAAATAGTTAAAATTTTTCCTCCATACATTTGAGATGAACAGAACTTTATACTTGCCTTATATTTATAACATTTTTTTTTTTTAAGTTTTTAAAATGGGGTCATTATTATTTTTTGAAAATGATTGAATTTAATATATGTGAACAGGGTTTATAGTATTATGTTTAGGTAGGTTTATGCCTTCTCCTTTGAAATTATCTTATATATATATATATATATATATATATATATATATATATTATATATATATATATATATATATATAAACAAAATAGGTGACAAAATTAACTGTTGCGTCATTAATCAACCTTAACCGAGCGCAATTAATCGAACAAAAAACCGAGGAAAAGAATTTGAAATTGAAGTTCTGAGAAAAACACATCACGGGGAAAACATATATAATAAAAACAGACATATATCTATTTATGGCAAAGTGAAAGACTGTAATGTTGCGGTTGTTGTAATGATTAACAACAACCTTGTTCAAAAAAATGTTAATTAAATTAATTTTTGCCGAAATGGATAAAGTAAGATAGGAGAAATGACATTTAAATAAAAGTTTTTTCATGAATTAAACAGCAATTAAAAAAATATAATTAGAAAACAGATTTCTTTTTAATATAAATTAAATTATAATTTTATCATGGAAAAAGATCTCATTATTTTTTTCGACTTGACGAAGGAGAGTCACAAAGAAAATGAAGGATTTTAACCTTTTTTTATATTTTGTGGATTAATCATCAAAGAATGAAAATGGATATGATAGATCAGGTATATATTTTTCAATTATATTGGAATAATTTCGCCATTCATATAGTAATTGTATTTCCAAAAACAAACCATGGCATCATCCCCTAATATTTCTCCTTTTTTGGAATAATTTATATATGACTGGCAGAGGAGGAGAAGGGTTTTTTCCCTTTCGGAGTAAATGCTGCAAATGTAGTATCTGTTCCGTTCCATTAGATTTATAAATCTCCTCCCTTGCATCTCCCCACCCGGCGGCTTAACATTTGGTCCGTAGTAGTGGTACGACCAGCTATGACTATATATATAAATTCTAACCAGCCTAGACAAACTATGATCACCTAATACCATCCTAGACAATCTCTGACCAACTTAGACAAGCCATTATCACATAAGACCAGCTTAGAAATCTCTGACCAGCTTAGACAAATTATAGTCGCCTGGTAATTTATTAAAAGCTCTAACTTAGACAAAATATATGATTACCTAAGACCAAAAATGACAAGCTCTGACCAACTTAGACAAGACACCTAAAACTATTAATATACTAACATACATTTTATATGCAATTGGTCAAAAACTATGACAAAGCTTATAACTTAACAATTTATAACCTAAGACCAGCTTAAAAATATATGCTAAGTTTATTGTTGATATTCACCTAAGACCAAACAAAGACAAAATCTGACGAGCTTAGACAAGCCACATCATCATAAAAAACCAGTTTAGACAATCTGAGCAGCTTAGACAAGCTATAAATACCTAAAACCAGTTTAGACAAGCTCTGACGAGCTTAGACAAGCTATTATCACCTAAGACCATCTTAGAGAAGCTTAGAAAGTTATTATCACCTAAAACCAGCTTTGACAAGCTCTGACCAACTTAGACAAGCTAATAAACCTAAGACTAGGTTAGAAGAGCTCTGACCAGCTAATTTATGCTATAATACCTAAGACCAATTATAAATGGTAATATAAGCGGCCCGTGTGAAAACTCGGTCTCCACGTAAAAACCGACTTTGTGTCACAACCTGACTTTTAATGAGCGAGGGTTAAGTAAATATTGACATCATCTGCCTGCTGAATTCTGAAGTGGATAGTAAGATGATTTTCTAGATCTGTTTTTATTATTACACACCTAAAACCCAATTCTTTTTGAATTCCTGGAAGGATTCATGATCAATCAAATGTAATAATGTATAGGGTTACAGTCGCAATACCGTATCAGTTTAATAACCATAATTGAAGGAAAGCGAGATGAAAGGACTAAATATCAACTGCAAGAAGACCGAATGCATGATTGTTAGCAAAACGATCAGCCCGACATGCAAATTACTATTCGGAGATTCCAAAATCATACAAGTACAAAAAAAATTAAATAAACGTGTAGTGTTTTAACAGAGGATGGAAAGTATTTGACACTGATAACCGAAGGCGCATTGGGATAGTGAAAGATGCCTTCTAAAAAATTTAAAAAAAGTATTAAAAACAGAAAAATTTCGATAAAAAAAAAGAAAAGAGTACCGGAATGTTACGTCCTCCTGTACAGCTGGAATATATATACAGATGAGGAAAAACTGGAAGCAATTCAGAAATGTGGCTCTACAGAAGGATGCTGAGGATACCATGGATGGAATATGTGAGCAACGACGAAGTTTTGGAGAAAATGGAAAAAACAAGGAAACTTATACTTAACACCAGGAAGAATCAGTTGAAATTTCTAGAACAAATTATGAGGAAAAAAAAAATGAAAAATTCGATAAACAGCACAGATTGAAGGCAAGAGGGACAGATTTAAAACATCGCATAACATACCTATATAAACTTAATGTTACTGGATGACGAAACAAAGTATAGGAGAAATAACAAAAACGGCTACAAAATTACTGGAAGTTGTGGAGAGCCATGGTCAGCTAATATCTTGAATGGACACGGCACAGAGAAGACTCAAGTAAGCTTGAACGGTCACATAATTGATTTGATATTGAGAGGGACGTGGATTTTTTATCTTATATATATTACACTATAATGTTATTTATCTATCTAATTCAGCCTTTTGGTGATGATGTAATATCAGTAATTAGCCGTTACAAATTTCATATATAACTATAAACATTACCGGGGCCGGGCCACAAGGTTAAACATATTCTGTTTACTAGTCTCTTCTTAATTATGTGAATAGATTGTTCAGCATTCCCTGCCATATATAGGACTGATATTACCTAACAGTTCAGTAAATTTTCCTTTATATAGCTATAAATCTCTTCTTCATCTATGCAAAAGTGAATTGTCCAGTTATATTATAAAAAAACTGTATAATTACGTAACAGTTCACAGTTCTTTCTTTGTTTATAACGAAATATTTCTGTCTCATAGTTGTATTTATTGTCCTAAAAATAAGAAAATAAGCTAAATTCATACATGCGCTTCTGTTGTTCTATTATGCCATTGATTTTTCTGTTTGTAGAAAAATGCTACCATCCTGTTTGAATGGTTTGCATAATTTCAAATATATGCACTGTAATGCACACAGCCCAAAAATCAAAAGACCTGCCACCAGATTTGTACGTTTATTTGGCTGATTTAAAAATGAAAGTAAATCAGTTTGATGTCATATTTCTATGACAATGAATACAATTTAAAATTAATTACGTTTTCTGAATTCCAAAACACTGTTAATTAATAAATGTATCTATCAGTTGAATCCTAAATGGAATTGGCATCAAATACTGGACAATATCTTTTGATATTTAATCTTTTATTTTCTGTTGAATATTGTTTTGTTTTGGGGATTGATTATTTTCAATTATATTCTGTTGTGCGTCTTAGCAGATGGGATATTATATTTATTAAAGAAATAATCAATAATCGATTAAGTATCTAATATAGATAAACAAATGTGACAGGTTCACTAAATTTGATTAAAGGCGTAATGGGTGAAGAATGATGTTTTCAGATTTGCTTCAGGATATTAATAATATGATGTAATAATTACAGCTTCGATAATTGCGAATATAAATGAAATTGTCTGTCTGTTTGTCTGACTGACTGTCAGTCTATCTGCCTATATATCTATCTGTCTGTCTGTCTGTCTGTCTGTCTGTATCTCTCTAAAAAATATATATATATATATATATATATATATATATATATATATATATATATATAGTTTATGCAAAACTAGGTAATCCGTATGGGTAGACCCAAGGAGGATGATATCCAGAGAGCTCAATGTAAAATTCAGAGCAGATATGTTTGAATAAAAGACAGACCACGTTAAGATTCCATGTAATAAGCTATTTCACCATAACCCCTTTAACAGGATTCTGGATCATCAGACTTTACTTCCAAAAGTTGAAATGAAAAATGAAAAGAAATTCACACGTTTTTTTACGGACCTCATCAAGCATATGTAAAATTAACGAAGTGAGGAAGTGAGGTGGGAGAAGATAAGATATGAGTGTTTAGATGTATCATTTTAATTTCCTATTTTAACCCCAGTGTGTCGGCTAACGCTCAAATTTAACGCGTCTCGTCTCTAGATATAGGTGGGTAAGGGGTGAATAATAAGAACGACATTAAAGGAAGAATTTACAACAACCCCAAATTAATTACACGACAGGTTTCATTCAAATTCTTAGACGCTGTTAATTCGCCTTACTTTAACGGTATATTTGGGAGGTTAAGGTTTGATAAAAAACTAAATGTTAAACAATCTACGAAGAATTTAATTTGAAATTCGTTGGAGTTTTGGGTATTTTCTATGAAACAGTCGATTGGAAAAACTCATAGAGAGAACATTGAAAAAGTAATCCATTTTATATTTAGTAATTTTTTTTTTTTTCTAAAACTTTTATCTTATAGATTGTTAGGTTGACATCTATTCGTTTGATAATTATCAACGGTTATTCCCATTTAAATAATTTTATTCTTCCACACTGGGGTAGTATCTTTCAATCTCAATTAAAATACCAATCTAAACTTTCCCTTCGTGCTATTTAAAATTCACTTCCAATTGGAGAATATTAGAGGAAATATTTGGAAGAGATGTCACTAAAGAAAATTAGGTCCTTCTTTTTTCAATTTTTATCTACACATGTCTTAAACCCCATTTGTAACCATGGTGTGAGAGGCTTTGTCCCAGGTAACGCTAAAAAAAGTATATACCCTGGAGAAAAAATGGTCCCCAAATTGATAAAAAAATTTAACGTGTAAATTCTTATGTTAAAATTAAACAGGGAAGACCAAAGTATTTTTTTGAATATTTTTTATAGATTTTTAGTCCTTCCTATAAATTTTAAAAATTTTATTTAAAAATCTCGTTTTTCTTGAATAAAAAAAAAGTAAATTCGATTTATCACTTTTTCTAAATTTGTAAACAAAAATCAAAATTAGTTCAAAAAATTTTAAAAATCAATTAAAATTTTTTTTTGTTATCTTAGGAAATTTAGAATGATTAAAGTATACTTAATGTAATTTGAAAAGAAACATTACTTACTTTTTAGCAGAAAATTTTTTTAATAGAGATATTTTTTGGTACTTTCCCAGGGTGCATTACTGAAGGTGTTAATTGATGGGTGTCAATATATTGACAAATTATACAAGGAATTTTTCATAAAATGTAGCGCAGAAGTCATGTAATTCGTTCTAATTTTAAGAATAACCTGGTTAGTAAATTTAAAAAAAATAACTTTCAATTTTTTTTTTTTTTTCTGTTTGAAGAAAATTTCTGCACTGAAAATAATATTTAAATTGTGAAAAAATAAATTAAACAGTAACAACATGTTTTTAAATTGAAACTACATATTTTATTTATCGAAAAAATTAATATTGAATTTTACGCAATCGATTTCAAATTTTGCTCGTTTGTTAACTGAATGAATGTAAAATTTCTGAAAAAAAAAAAACTTGCTTCTATCTAGAAACTGCATTGACGTGACGTTATTTCAATAAATGAATCCAATTTCGTTGGAGACGATTTTTAATACAATTTTGGAATATTAAAAAGTTATTTTAAAATATTAACGGTTGTCATTTTTTAATAAATTTCAAATTTATTTCTCTACATAAAAACATAATATTTTTCACACGACAGGCTTTATAAAACTTTCTTAAATATATAACAACATTTGTCATATTTTGTATTTAAAATAGAAAAAAAAGATTTTTGTAAAAATTCATTTTTCATCCTTTTTTTCAGATAAATTGTTATATATGTTATTCAGAAAAGTCATTTTAGTTTTTAAATTAAATATTGTTCATTTTATTGGGTTTTTATTTCAGAATTGAGGTAAAAAATTTTTTTTTTCAATTTTTTTCAAAAATCGATTTCTAGAATCTTCAGAGTCTTATACATTTAATTGAAAAAATATTCAGGCTTTGAAAATAAATTTTTTTTTTCATAAAATTAAGTTCGAGGGTGTATACAGATATAAAAAAATATATTTTTTTGACTTTCAAAAAAGACAAACATTTAAAAATAATTTCATTCATTTTGTGAATAAGTTCTGAAAGTTTCATTAAAATCAACATATAGTATTTGATTTTTTGCAAGATTTTCTAAAAATGTGCTTTTTTGTTTTGTAATGTTAATATTACCTAATTTTTGACCTAAAAAAAAGATTTTCAACCTAAATTTTAAAAATAATTAAAAATACCTTCAATCTTCCCTTTAATTTTAACATAAACATTTACACGTTACAATTTTTTATCAATTTAGGGGGACCTTTTTCTCCAATATACCACTTTTTCTTTCATTGGGACAGATTATAAAAAACATACACCTACATTACATTCACATTTTTTTTATGTAAATTTCATCTTAACATTTACCTTTGAAAATCCACATGTCTCCATAAATATGTCTTTACTTATAATTTTCATATATACATATACACACAGGATCACTGCATATCCATATTATATTCATACGGGTGGGCATATATTATTCCTATATGTATACACTGGATTCAAACATTCATTACACACATATATGCATATATACATACACACATGGTATCATACACATACATGCATATACATACACAATATAATATTTACATACCCACATATATATAATTTGTTTATTATTATATTACATGTTATCTGTCCCTATCCTCAATCACCGTGCATCCATTTTATATATTTATCAGTATTTAATTAAATTATCTATATCTTTACATATAATATTACAATTTCATATTTTATATTTACATATAAGTAAATTTATAATTGTAATATCTATATAGTGTTTGTTAAAAACAAACCCAATGCTTCTTTTTCCGTATAAAAAATATAATGTACATATCAACATTCTTTGTTTATGGATTCATTATCTTTCCATTTTTATAATGTGTTATTATTTCAAAGTTTAATAGTAATATATATATATATATATGTATGTTCATATCAAGATATATATATATATATATATATATATATATATATGTGTATGTATATATATATGAATATATATATATATATGTATATATGGTCAATATTATTTATATGTATATATATATATGTATATATATATATTTATGTTTGTATATATATAAATTCATTTGTTTATATTATATATATGTATATGTTATATATATATATATTTATGGTATATAAATTTATATCCGTATATATATATATATATATATATATCAAACTGTCTATATATATATAAATATATATTTTATTAATATAATATATATATATATATATTATATGTGTATATATATATATATATTATATATGTAAAATCAAACTAAAATTGCGATTTTGATTTCCAAAAACAATAACTCATTTTCAATAACATTTTCATTACATAATACATATATTTTTATCTCTCTTACTAAGAGATAAAACAAGAATTGTTCTATTCTATGTTTGAAGAAAATCTGTTCTACAGACAAAAAATGTATAAAAAAGAATAGATTGTTATTAAATTTATATAAAAAATTTCATTCAAACAGATATTGGTTTTTATATATATTTATATTGTTTACGATGATGGATGTCTCCATTTAAATCATTACATTGACATTTCTTTTTAAGGTTATTCATAAATATATATAAATATATGATATATATATATGTGTATATATAATGCATATATTGTGTGTGTATATATATATATATATATATCAGGATATATAGATATATATATAAATATATATGTATCAATATATTTGTTATGTGTGTGAAATATATATATATATATTGTGTATATATGTATATATATATATATATATATATATATATATATATATATATATGATGATATATATGCAATATATATTGTCTTATATATGCGTGTGTAATATATTTAATATGTATTATATATTGAGTATATATATATATATGTGTATATATATATACATATATATCCATATAATATATATATATATATATATATATATATATATATATATGTATGTATATATATACATATATATATATGGGTATATATATATGCAGACTATATATATATATATATATATATATGTATATCTATATATATATATATATATATATATATATATATATATATATATATATGTATATATGTGTATAAAACCATATATATATATATATATATATATATATATATAATTGTTTTCATGGCTATAAAATATAAATTTAAATTGTCAGTTTTAGGAAAAAAATGTTCTGAGGCACGTGTAGTAACGGATAGCTGCTCGGATTAAGGAATTGGAGAGCCGGTTTCGAACTCCAGTCGAATCTATTACATTCGCTTACGTGCTAATACCCTTAGGAAAGGAATGAATCCTCTTCTTCTCTCCTCAGCTATGAGTTCTATAGCCTTGGGTGGCAACTGGTCTTCCGCAGAAAGAAATGGCAACCTACTAAGCGTGTATGATGCATGGCACATAACTGACTGACTGACGTTCTGTTAAAATTCTAGTGATGTGTCATGTATAAGTCGACGTTTTTTATCTGAATTTCTGGCATGGAGAGTTATCATTATTTACATTCGGACTAATGTCCCTAACTTCGTTATCACGTTTCGGTCGTTGTGACTTCGAGTCTTCTTCTGGTGTCTACCAATGCGGGTAAGCTTTTGAGAAATTTCAATCCACTAGGATCGATTGTCCTCCTTCTTTTGTCCATGCATTGGGATGTTTCGTCTTTTTTATTTCAGTATTATTAGGTCATCGCTCGTCCTGACTTTGAGTACTAGGATCGAACACGGATACGTGAAGAAATCCGGAAAGCACATTAACTAAAAAAAAAAAAAACTCTTATTAGCGCTACAGATATACTATTTTTGTTTAAATCACTTCACTTAAATCAATGAAATAAAGTCAATAAAACGCAAGGGGTTACTGAAGGAGAAAGGAAACGAAATTACATTGTCCATAACTTACAAACGGTAATAGAGCATAATGTTTTAATGTCATTTTCGAAATAACCAGGCAATTTTACACCAGAATGGTACATTCTCAATATCGGGGGCTTTTGGTGCTTATACTGCAAATTTGCCAATTAGTTCAATCCATATTGGGCGTTTGTAATCTTAAAGTATGGATACGCGCATAAAGTTATTTTTGTTTGTTTGTTTGTTGTTTTTTTGTTTTTGTTTTTTTGTTTTCTTTTCTTCTTTTTTCGTTTTTACTTTGTTTGTTTCTGTAAATCTTCATCGGAGGTAAACGACGGAAACTTGTGAGAAAAAAATGAGATTTCATTTACAACTAAATAAACAAATTCTTGTATTTTATTTTTGAAATTTTTGTTATCGCTTCTGGTTTGTCATTTGTCATAAATATAGTTCTGAATGTCGTTTAGAAAGGATATAGTGAGGTCGTCAACGATATTCTACAATAATTCTGGTTGGCGCATTCACTGCTTAAAATGTAAATATTTCTTAATGTTAACTTAACATTTTGTTACGATTCTATAAAAATAAAAGAAAGTCGGCATAAGGGACAAGATTGTAGTGATCGGGAAAACATCCTCTTGGAAGTCGGTTCCACAGAGAAGTGATTCGCAGGATGAAGCTGTTTGAGTGGAACTTACTTCTCACCAAAGAAATAGGGAAGGAATGAGAGAGGCTCGCTACAATCTGCGTAGAACAGCGGATCCCAGCAGTGAAAATTAGAACTGGTAGAACTAAGGAATGTTGTTCATCTGACAACTTTTCAGGGAAATAGCGATAGAGCTTGCGACGTTTCGTCTGTAAAGTACCGAAAATTTTATAGAAATCTGATCATTAATTAATTTTTGCTAGATTTTTAAAATCAGAGTATAGCTCGCCCAAAATGTTTTCGTATGCGATTTCTACGGGTAAACAGTATTTTAAAATGCAAACAAATCTTCAGAAACGGAAATCTCTGGTTTTATACATTTGTAGGGCCCTTATTTTAAAAAAGAATAAAATAATGATATATGAATTAACTCCCTTGTTTTACAACTATACCATTCCAAATTCAAATTAGGAATAATCAAATTCAAATTGATACTAAATAATTTCAAGTTGGACTAACCAATTCCAAATTGTGACTAAGCAGTTTCAAGTTGGTAGTAACCAATTTCAAATTGGCAAATATATTTTTCGACAAAACAAATGCGGCATAATAATGAAACTGAGCTAGCAAATATTTATTGTCACTAACTCATGAATTATGGAATATCAATGTACTCGTGCATGTCAAGAATCCATATCCTCAAGATCCAAGGCTGGCTGTATAAATCACTGAACATGTGCCAGCAGAGCAGTACATTTAGGAAAGGTTATTACAGGTATATTATTAGCAATCACTTGCTCAAGTTGTGCACTGCGAAATTTAGTTTGTGTTGCATTTCCCCTTACTTCGCCTGCAAGAATTCGAGGAATCTTCAAAGCTACCTCGGATTTTACACCAGCCTTAATAATTGACCAATGATCCTTCTATCGGATTCTTCATTGGACTATATGGTCCGAGGCGTAAGAAATAATGATGGGCAAACTCGGGTTCCAAACGAAGCATGGCAAGGGTCATTGACAGCCACCAATAGCACAGCTGACTGCTATCTGTCATGGGCCCGTTCTAAATAATGTCTCACAAACTCTTCAGCTTGTTCTTTTTTGAATGACTCTCGACGGATTTCATGATAGATTAATCTGAGTCTAGTGATCCCTCCAATTACGTGAATATTTACACCGCGAGTCTCGGCGGCGACTACAGTGCAGCGACTCCTCTTCCTTGATCGCCCTTACGTACGAGAAATATACCAATTAAAATTTGTTTCATCAACGTAAACAACTGGAATATTGTCGGCCTGGGATCGTAGAAGCTCCTGGGCATATTGCCGATGTTTGTCTTTGTTGATATCACTATTCACATTCTCTGGCTCATTGTAAACTTTTTTGTGTATGTGAATAAGAGTCCATTCGAATGTTGTCGAACACATTCGAAACTCACATGCCTCATTTGTTTTGCTGAAAAATATATTTGCCAACTTGAAATTGTTTAGTCTCAATTTGAAATTGTTTAGTCTCAATTTGAAATTGTTTAGTATCAGTTTGAAATTTAGTCTCAATTTGAAATTGGTTAGTACCAACTTGAACTTGATTATTCCCAGCTTGAACTTAAAATGAAAAATGTATGTATTATCGATTTTGGGGATAAATTTCTCTCTCAAAAACCCTACTTTGTAAAATACTTAAAATTTTGTCTATAGTTTTGCTTTCATTTTTTAAAACAAATAGATTCCCCCCAACACTTTCACACACACACATATATAGTTAAGCATTTCGTTTAGTAAATATTATCTAACAACGGCACCTAAAATTGGTCGTTTGGTTTAATAACTTTGTTCATACTTGTTGATTTGATTGTGTTTCAGAATAAAAAAAAAAAATTCATTAAATTTTGAAATCATTTCAATATTTGTCTTTTAAAACCAGTTCAATAAGTAAAAATATCAGAAATTGATTTTTGAACACGGAATTTTGTCATTTTCTTAAGGTCTCAATAAGCTTCCCAGCCAAGGGCAAATAGTGAAACCCCAAACAAAAGCAAAACACAATGACAGTATAAAAATATATTTTATAGTAAAAAATACCAACAATATAGTTTTATATAAATATGACCAATACATATTTTTTGAAACATTTTGTAGTTGAGCCAATTGCGTTCAAATTGTTTATATGCTGGCCCTATTACATTGACCTGTAGAGATCATTTACTGCTACAAAATAAATCAGCAAAACCTTTTCAAAAGTACAAAAATAAAAGTTTTATTTGTTTTTAGCGGAATAAAAAATATAATTAAATATTCTTTTCTGCTGATTTTTTTTTTTTTTTACTTTGGTTTATTGTTTAAATATTATCTCTCAACACACAGGCCTCGTGACCTATTCTAGTCTCTCTGGCGATGATTGGTTTTAATTTAAAAGGATTTGGTTTAATAAATACTTTTCGTTTTTTTCATACTTGTTGATTTGGGTCATTGTCAACTCTGTTTTTTCTCGTTGAATCTTGCAAAGGTTGGTGAAAAAATAATGTCGTTTTTCATCTTAAAACGTCAAAAAATATTGTAAATCTGAAATTCGTTCGTAAATTGAAATCTTATTCATCATTTTCAATATTTGTCTTTTTCCGCCTAAGTAGTTCTGGGTATTCTGAGGATAACCTACATTCCAACCCTAACTACATGATTTTAAGGCCTCATGATCATCCGTTTACTGTGATTGAAGTCACTTCTGTTTTCTTTCTCTCACTTCTACTTGTGGAGTCTCTTTCCAAATTTAGGAGCACGGAATCAACCACTCTTTTTCTTGAATCCCGTTCATCTTTTGTCCTTTTCTTCCAGGTTTTTTCTTAAATTCACCCGAGGGGTTATACGGTGGAGCAACTCATTTAAATTAGGGTTTAATTTTAATTTTTGAACCTTCTTCGTATTGGTTTTTCATACTAACGAGGGTTGAATTTAGATATCTTAAATTGACTATTCTTAACCCTCAGCGACAACATGAAACCCTTTGCAAACAAAATGTTGCAAAACACAATGACAAAATTTGTCCTTTTATTTAAAAATTTAAATATTTAACATAATTTCCTTTGCTAAAAATAAAATACCAATAAAAATATTTTTTGATGGTCAATTTGCTTAAAAATTTTTATATAAAAAGATGACATTTTAAATACATATTGATTTCGCCAAAAATATTTTAAAATCATAGTGTTTTGTTTTTATTTGGGGTTTCACTATTTATCCATAGCTGGGACCCTGACAGGTGCTACCCCCCCCCGGGTCAGAGTGGATCTGGGAACAACGCTCCTCAAAATCTCTAATCTCCTGATTAGAACCCCTGCTTCCGGGTGTAGTTTATTGTCATCCCCAGGACTGCATGTCGACCTACAGATTCATAATAAAACAAATCATATTGATGCGATCAACTATCGACTTTATTAAGCAGATATCATAAAAATGTGACTTCTTATTCTGATAGTTCTTGGCCTTCAATTTTAATTAATAAAATACTGTAAACCTGACCCAATCAAGTTTTAATATTGGCAAAAATACAATTTTTTTTTAATCAGTATCACCCCGAGCAAGGTAGTAAAGCCACTAAGATGCAAGGGGTTACAGGGTGTGGAAGAATTAGGAAGAGAAACATAATAATGAGCAGGAAGAGAAAAGAGTAACCAGAAGGGCAATAGATAACGATTAACATTGGATTTAAATTTTGCAGATTAAATTTGGCTGGAAAGCATGGAGCCAGAAGTGAGTTCCACAGGCGAGAAGTGCAAGAAAAAAAACTGTTACCATTGAACTTACGGCTACATCTAGCTAGCTCAACTATAAATTGATGATCTCGACGCCAGTTTAGTACTGCGCTTAAATTCGTAGAGTCTAGGTAACAATTGCTTATCCGAACAATTACCATGAAAGTATTTATAAAAAAAATACACCCTTGGTTTTTAGAGAAGGGAATATTTTAAAAAATATTGTGGTACATCAAATGGTATTGGAGATCCATATTCCCTATTTAGTCCAGTTCAAATCAAATTTGCTTTTGTGTAATTATTACAAAGATAAACATAAAATAATATTAGGTGAGTGAAGAAATGGGATATTAAATATACTATTTTTGTGTGTATGCTGTCAAAATTTATGGTTGCACATTTCTCTCATTAGTTAACAAATGAACTGTACGAAAACTATAGTTTTCTCTCAGTATCAGCAAATGCCCACGGAAAATTACTCCTGTTATAAGCCAACATGGAGTAGTAATGCTACCAATTTTTTTCCCCATATATTTTTCAAGTCTACAATGTTTAATGACCAACTGAGAATTTAAATAAGTAGATTTTGAATTTAAAAACAGTTAAATCTGATCTGCAGCAAAGCAGATTAAAAAAAAAAAAATCAAGTTAAGTTTTAAAAATAAAGCAATCAATACACATACACTTTTAAAGATTGTTTTATTTTAAATTTTTTTTTTAAGGGGTTTCATCCCTAGCAAACAAATTGCCCCCACCAAGATAATGGGGTTACTGAGTGTGGAAGAATTAGGAAGAGAAACATTAATAATGAGTGGAAAGAGGAAAGATTAATCTGGAGGACAGATAACGATTGACATTGCATTTAAATTTTTGCAGATTAAATTTGGCTGGAAAGCATGGAGCTAAAAGGGATTTCCACAAGTCATAGAACATCTAGAGGTTGAATATCAAACTGTTAGTCTAGTACTGCGCTTAAATTCAAAACGTCTAGGTACCATAGCGAAGAGCTCATCCGAACAATTACCATGAAATTATTTATAGAAAAGACACGGGGAGGCAACCTTACGGCGGTGGGTAAGTGACTAAAGCCGAGACGCCAGATCAGGACCAATAATATTGCTGATTCTTCTTTGGATCTTATCAAGAAACTCAAGGTAAACAGCTGGGGCACTGGACCATATGTGGCAGCAATATTCTAAGCATGAACGAATGGTAGACTTATAGATATGTGAAAGAGAAAAAATTGTCTCGCACGACACTATGAACCGACCTTCTTAGCAGCTGTCCGATATAGTCTTTCCACTTCATGTCAGCCACGAATGTTAGCCCGAGAAGGCGCAACAAGTTACTTTCCTGGAGGTTAGAATCAGCCATACTTATGGAAGGCAGAGAGGCTTTCTCAGATGATTAATGAAGAGAAATTTAGTTTTGAAGGCGTTAACATTGACAAATCCTATTTTGCCTCAGTTAACGATGGACTTGAAATCGTTTTGGACATTGACTGTCATTTTGACCTTGTCGGACTGATTAGCCTTACTACAGGAGTAAATGGTTGTGTCGTCAGCGTAGATGCCAAGTTGAGAGCTGTTGTCACCAGGAAGGTCGTTAATGAAAATTAAAAACCGTGAAGGACCAAGGATGGATCCCTGGGGTTGTTGTTATATATATCAAAAGATCTAGATGGTGGCCATTCAGGATAACTTTCTTTTCACGATTTGACTGGAATGACTGGATCAGTTCAAAAATGTGTCTCAGATACCATAACTTTTCAGCTTGTGGAGAAGAAATGAATGCCAGACCTTGTCAAAGGCTTTAGAGATGTCCAATGCTTTAGCCCAGGCTTCAAATTTTTATCTAGAGCATGATAGACACTTTTCCACAATTGTCGTCAGTATATCAGCAGTTGACCTGGAGAAATAATAAAACCATATTGCTTGTCTGAGAAAAAAGCCCTGCAATGAGAGATGATGAACCAATTCAGCATTGATTAATGCAGCCCAAGCTTTTTTTTTTTTTGGCGAAAATTGTGTTGTGTGTTTGCAGTGACACGTAACTTTTCAAAATTTTAATTTTTTGACCCTAACCAAGCGCTTTCTTCAGATCTTTTTTTTTTATCATTTGACCCCAAGGAAGGCGATATACGCCGCTAAGACGCAACGGGTTACAAGGACTGAAAGGGAATGAGACTTTAGTGAAGAGAAAGGACAATAAAGGGACAAGATTCAGGAAGACAAACGATTGTGATTGACACTGCATTTAAATTTTTGAAGATTGTAAGTGGCAGGGAAGCAAGTAAACAGATGTGAATTGCGTGAAAAGAAACTGTAGGAGTAAAAGTGGCGGTTGCATTTAGCTATTTCAACAATAAACGGGTGGGACCTAGATGCCAACCTAGTAGCACGTTTAAATTCATATAGTTGGGGTACCAGAGTAAGATCAGGTACTGAAAATTGTAATTAAAAATAGGAAAATTTGCGCTGGGTACTATATACCCTTGGTTAGTGTTCTAGGGGTTCAGAAAATATTTTAATAACAATCAAAAATAAGAATTATTTTATAAGATCCACTAATTTTACAAATTCAAAAATTCAAATTGAGAACTTTTTCCATTTCGCTGAAACAGACGTTAAACACTTCTTTCTTTATTCCTTTCTTTTTTCACTGAAACCAAGTAGCGCCTCTGGTATGTATTTTCTTTCTATCTGATCAAAACGAAATAGTCCATTATTTATGAGATATTGACAATTTTAATTCAAATTTATACAACCAACAAAATGAGACAAGCACAATTATTATAAGATTGATTTTCCTAATATATTTTCTTATATTTGATTAATTTTTATCAGAACACTCTTGCTGTATTTTGTTTATTTATATTCTTCAGCCGTTACAATATATCGGTGGTGGTAATTAAACATAAACAATTTTTTTAATTCTAATGCCTGAAGTAGAATTTAAACAGCAATTTATTTACAGTTTTACCACTATGTTTTAGTTTGGAAAAGTGTATGTTTGTTTTTTGTTTTTTGTTTTTTATGGATATGTCTTTTTCATAGTAATAGTCTTCTTATTTGAAATGTTCAAAGTAACAGACATATGTCTGATACAGACAAAGATGTCTTGTCGTAGGGAAGCTGTTATGTAGTTTCAATTGTTGGCGTATCTTTCGATTTTCAGCCATTTCGCTTATTTCTCTTGCGAAAGGAAGTCACTACACAGGTCATTTATTTCTGTAAATGGTCAAATTGATTGACTAACACCTATTGCTTTTCAGGTGATGCAAACTTGAATGTTTTTGAGTTTACTCAAACCAACAGCGGTTGGTTGAAAAATTCCAGTACGTCCGCAAATTTTAAGTTTTATTTTAGATTTTAATTTTTGGCGTTTTGTTTTTTGTTTTTTGGTTTTTCTGTTTTTTTTTTTTTCTGCCGTTTTGATAGGTTGATTTTTTAGACGTTTTTGATTTTGTATACTAAATGTTTTATTAGATTTTGAATATTATTACAAAGTAAACTTTTCATCATGTAAATTTGAAATAAGGTTCAAAAAGATTTTGTACATTTCACAACCAAATAGCATTTAAACTCTCTGTTCCTTAAAAAAATATAGGATCCAAGGTCGATTTTTAACGGAGGGACCCGAGTGTTTCCGAGTGTCTAAGCTGGTCTTAGCTGGTCGTAGCTTGTCTAAGCTACTCAGAGTTCGTCTAAGCTAGTCATAGCCGGTCATACCATCACTACGGAACAGATAGTATAATTTTATCTTCTTGAATGGTGTGTGAGGGGGGGGCAACGCAAGGATAGGAGAAAATCAATAAATAAAACATCATTATAAAATACTATATCTGCAGCATCCACCCCACTTTATTTACCAAAAAAATCTGTCAAAAGTATCGGAAGGAAAGCCCTACATAACAGTTATGTGAGCTAATTTGACCGGGGTTGCGCCTTTTGTAATTAATTCGTAATCTAATCAAGGCTTCATTCAGTGGTAGACGTCAGCTGTTCATTTTCAAAGAGTAGGTAGAAATAAAAGGCTACATTCAGAACATGTCTTACTAACAGTTGAGTTACATGATAGGCATTTGACCCGTGACAAAGGTGTTCTACTCACTGACCTGCGATGGTCCAGATGTTTTTTTGGTTTATTTATATTTGATCCAAAATTTAAATTTTTGTTCACCCCACAGAACAGAAGAAACTCCCAAAAAACGTTTGGCTTTTGCTTTTTAACGAAACGTCCTGGTAGTTTTTATATTCTACAATCGTTAAGAAAGCGGCACGGATCTAAAATAATGAAGTTAACTTCCTTTTATAATATTGTGATTTTATTTTTATTTTTACAGTTGAAATGAATAAATTTAGCCGTAAGTTCTATGCTAACAGTTTCTTCTATCGCACTTCTCGCTTGTGGAACTCTGTTCCGGCTTTTGGCTTCCCAGTCAACTTTGATCTTCAAAAATGTAAATGCAATCTTAATCCTTATTTTATGTTTTCTTAATTCTTGTTCTTTTATTGTTCTCACTCCTTAAATATTGTTTTGTTTTAATATATATTCTCTAACAATCAGCAATTTAAAAAAAAAATGTTTTCGTGACTTTAATTTTCTATTTTTCGTTACTTTGATATATAAAAATGTTCTAATAAATATTGTGACAACACTAAAATATTTTTGTTGTATAGAATGGTTATATATATATATATATATATATATATATATATATATATATATATATATATATATATTTCATACATGTTTCATTAAATAATATACACAAGTGTTGTCTATTTATTTGATGTAAATTCTTTTCATAACGTTTGATAAGCTTAATAACATTATCATTAAACGAAGAAAGAAAATCACAATATTGATCCATATTTTTTAATCCAATCTAAGCTTTCGGCTTACATGTTTATAGTTGCTTGGAAATCGTCCATGTAAACAGAAACAGTCTATCATCACATCCTTGTCCGTGTATTGCTTAATATATTGTACAGTAATTGATATCTTTGATAATGGCTTATGTAAGCCGAAAGCTTAGATTGGATTAAAAAATATGGATCAATATTGCGATTTTCTTTCTTATGAAAAGTCTTTTATAAAATAGACAACACGTGTCTATATTATTTAATGAAATCATTTTGAATAAAAATGCTGCCTAATTAAACTAATATATATATATATATATATATATATATATATATATATATATATATATATAATTTAAGAAAGGTCTATCATATCATTCAGGTCTTCTTCCCTTTTTGGAAACGCCAGAACAGTGGAAAAATGTCTTTTCGTGGAACAAACCAATCCGTTTTTATTTCTACTCTCTCGACATTTTATCATCGTGTATTGGGACCCAGCGAAAAATTGAATTTAATACCTCCTACTTCCGGTATAGTGAGAGAAAAATACTCTGACTTGCTCAAAACGAAACAGGCTGCAGAAAACATGGGAAACATTCCAGGTCCTCAAAAACTACCAATTATTGGAACAAGCTGGATATACATGAAGCACAATTTAGGTCTCTAAATCTTAAAATATTACTCTTTTTTTTTTCTTCTCTGTATTAGATTTATTTCTCTCTAGCAAAAACCGTCTTAGAGTTGTGTAATTTATTTTATGTGAGCATTCCGTACATTCTTATATGTGCGTAAGAACAAAAGAATGAATTTATATATTTACATATTAAAATATGTCATAAGAGATTTTTAGTGCCGCGCCATTTAAATAGTATTTTTAAAGCAGGAAACATTTTCTTAATCACAAAGTTCGATACAAAATATCATTTCGATTAAAATAGAAATTTTAAGGTGCTTCGCCCGACGTTTCGTCAGAAGAAAACTTTCTTCTGAAAAACGTCATCAGAAAAAGGTATTGAAATTTTTAAACATTTAAAATGAATTTTTTTATCCAATTTTGACTAAGAAATCGCCTTCCTTATTTTTTTGTTTTACACACACACACACACACACATACATATATATATATATATATATATATATATATATATATATATATATATATAATTGGTATTTGTGCCATAATTCCCCTCTTTTATATGTTTCGTTAAAACGACTGATAAGGTACTGCGATTAAGTTTTTCAATTAACATTTAATTGTTTGTATATTTTTTTTCTTTTCTGGACATAAATTAATGTAGAAATTGTCTGAATGCTCTGTATGTCCGAGAGCTTTCACCTATTCTTTTAGGAATTATCAAGGATGATTTTATGTTTAATTAAAAGTTAAAAATAAAAATAAAATTTATGAAATATTGTTTAGCCATTAACAAGGATGTTTTTATTTTATTTTATTTTTAACTTTTAGTTAAAAATAAAAAAATAACAATCATCTTTGATAATAGCTAAAGGAATAACCGAAAGCGCTCCGATATACAGACTTAGGAAGTCAAACGCACGTGAAGCCTAATTAATCAATGAAACAACATGACTACCAGAATGTCTTTCTTTTTTTTTTTCTCTCTACCTCTCATTCTCTGATGAAGCTTTAATAAAAGCGAAACATTCTGTCAGATTCGATCTATATTCGATCCCAGTTTATTCATATATATATATATATATATATATATATATATATATATATATATATATATATCAGAAAAAACCGATGTGACACGTTTCATCCTTCAAAAAGGCTTCTTCAGACTAAATAATATGGACGAGATCAGGTGAAGCTGTGAACGAAAGACAAATAAAGATCAGTTATGATTATAAATGAGGAGAAACGCTGAAAATGGAGGGATGCTTAATTTTAAATTTCTGACGTCCGATGTGTGTAGATGCACATTCTGATCATTATAACTTCCTATTGTAAGGTTATCTTTATAACATGCACTCGTACTTGGTATAACGTAATTCATATCAGGGTCTCTATATGTGATGCTTAGGCTACTTACCGTAACGCCTGTATAGTTAGTATGAAGACTGACTCCAAAACGACTAGTATTTACCAGTCTTCTCACTGAGACGAGATGCGACACAAGGTGAAGTTTACTGTAGGGAAGCCGAGCGTTTCCACTCGGCCCACTGATCCAAATTTACCCAGCCCTCGCGAAGGCGGGCTCGGATATATTATTTGTCTGTTTTTCTCAGCCTAGTCTCAATCTGAAGACAAAGCCCCGACTGAGTCACATTCTGCCCGAAGAGAGATGTCTTGTCACCTTCTGTCCGAAGACAGAAGTCTGGTCGGTCGCAAGCCAGACAGTGAACTACCTGACTCCAACTTGTCTGTTTTTCTCAACCGAAGACAGAACCCCGAACGAGTCACTCTTCGCCCAATGACGGAGGTCTTGTAACCCTCTGCCTGAAGACAGAGGTCTATTCACGAGCCTGGGACGGACTGCAATTGGTTGTCCGAAGACATTTATGGTTTTTCGCACCAGTGTCTACCAACTAGATGCGACATAGTCGCAAGCAGACAGAGAACAAGCTAGTCTGTTTTCACAGCAGTGGGAAATACTGAGTCATATATATGTTCAGTCGCAAGCCAACTATAACCCTAACTCCATATACAGCATATATAATATATATTGTATGAAGACAGAAGTATGTGGTTGAAATATAGTTTTCAGCCCACTCCAACTTGTCTGTTTTTCATTTATCCGAAGACAAACCCGGACTGAGTCACCCTCTGATAGAAGCGTAAGTAACTCATAAAGCCAGAGATGAAACATTCTAGTCTGATTTCACAGCAGTGTCTCTATACAAGACAATCCGGACTGGTCACCCTCTGCACGAAGACTGCATTTAAGTCAAGCCAGACAGAGAACAGCCTAACTCAACTGAGTGTTGACTTTCACAGCAGTGTCTCTATCGAATATAGAACCCGGACTGAGTTTGCACGAAGACAGAAACTTCCAGTCGCAAGCCAGACAGAGAACAGCCCTAACTAATGTCTGTTTTCTGTCAGTGTCTCCGAAGACAGAACCGGGACTGAGATGTCTCTGCACGAAGACGAAGTCTTCTCAGTCAAACAGACAGAAGAACAGCCTAACACCAAGTCTGTTTTCACAGCAGTGTCTCTATCCGAAGACAGAACCCGACTGAGTCACCCTCTCCGAAGATGTTGAAGTCTTCTCAAAAAAAACAGCCTAACTCCAACTAGCGTTTTTTTCACATGTGTCTCTATCCGAAGACAGAACCCGACTGAGTCACCCTCTGCACGAAGACAGAAGTCTTCTCAGTAAATAACTCCAAGTAATCTGTTTTCACAGCAGTGTCTCTATCCGAAGACAGAACCGGACTGAGTCATTCATTTGAAGACAGAAGTTTCTCAGTCAAACCCAGACAGGGAACTGCCCTAACTCCAACGTCTGTTTTTCACAGCAGTGTCTCTATCCAAAGACAGAACCCGATGAGTCACCTCTATATATATCTCATCATAAACCAGACAGAGAACAGCCTAACTCCAGCTAGTCTGTTTTTTCAAGCAGCAGTGTCTCAACAGAAGACAGAACCTGACTGAGTCACCCTCTGTCCGAAGACAGAAGCTCTTCTCAGTCACAAGCGAAGAGAACAGCCTAACTCCAGCTAGTTCGTTTTTCACAGCAGTGTCTCTAACCGATTGTGAATACCCTCTGCCGAAGACAGAAGTCTTTCAGTCGCAATACAGAGAACAGCCCTTTGTCTGTTTTTCACAGCGATCCGAAGTTAGAACCGGACTGAGTCAAGCTCTGTCCGAAGACAGAAGTCTTCTCAGTCGCAAGCCAGAAACAGGGAAAGCCCAACTTTGTCTGTTTTTCACAGCAGTGTCTCTATCCGGAACCCGGACTGAGTCACCCTCTGCACGAAGACAGAAGTCTTCTCAGTCGCAAGCCAGACAGAATTAAAAAATCCAACTTGTCTGTTTTTCACAGCAGTGTGTCTCTATCCGAAGACAGAACCCGGACTAACCCAAAGACAGAAGCCTTGGAGTCAGACAGAGAACAGCCTAACTTTGTCTGTTTTTTCACTCTATCCGAAGAAAGGAAAGACTCTTCTCAGTCGCAAAGACAGTGAACAGCCCTAACTCCAATGTTTTGTCTGTTTTTTCCGAAGACAGAACCAGGACTGAGTCTCTCAACGAAGGCAGAACTATGCACTGGGTTATCCTGTCTGTTTTTTCATAAAAATACAGAACCCGGACTCTTCTCCACAGAAGTCCAGACAGAGAACAGCCTAAATCCAACTTGTCTGTTTTTCACAGCAGTGTCCCCACCGCCCTAGACAGAACCTTACTGCTGAGTCACCTCTGTGCACGAAGACATTTGTTTTCAGTCGCAAGCCAGACAGAAAAACTGAACTTGTTGTTTTTCACAGCAGTGTCTCTATCCGAAAATACAACCCGGACTGAGTCACCCTCTGTCCGAAGACAGAAGTAGTCGAAAGCCAGACAGAGAACAGCCCTCCAACTCCCAGCAACATGTATTTTTACAGAACCCGGACTGAGTATAACCCTCCGAAATAGAAGTCTAATCAGTCGCATTGAGAACAGTCTAACTCCAACTTGTCTGTTTTCTGATCCGAAGACAGAACCCGGACTGAGTTTGTAAAAGTAAGTCGCAAGCCAGACAGAGAAAGCCTAACTCCATCTTGTCTGTTTTTCACATTTGATATATATCCGATATAGTCATATACAGAAGTATATATATATATATATATATTTACAGCAGTGTCTCTATCCGAAGACAGAACCGGACTGAGTCAGTCCTGTGCGAAAAAAGTCTTCTATCATAAGCCAGACAGAGAACATTAACTTTAATAAATGTTTTTATACAGCAGTTTGTCTCTATCCGAAGATAGAACCGGACTGAGTCAAACTCAGCTAAGTAGACAGAAGTCTTCTTTTTGTCAAAGCCAGATATAGAGAACAGCCCTAACTATATAGATATGTTTTTCTTACAGCAGTGTCTCTATATCCGATAGATATACCCGGACTGAGTACCCCTCTATATAAGACAGAAGTCTTCTCATATATATAGAGAACAGCCTAACTCCAGCTAGTCTGTTTTTCACAGCAGTGTCTCTATCCGAAGATAGACAGATCACCCGGTATATAGTCGCATATAGACAGAGAACAGCCTAAATTTTGTTTGTCTGTTTTTCACAGCAGTGTCTATATCCGAAGACAGAACCGGACTGAGTCACCCTCTGCACGAAGACAGAAGTATTCTCAGTCGCTTTAGACAGATAACAGCCTAACTCCAACTTGTCTGTTTTTCACAGCAGTGTTCTATCCGAAGACAGAAACCCGACTGATATATGCACGAAGACAGAAGTCTTCTCGGTCGCAAGCCAGACTGAGAAATGCCTAACTCCAACTTGTCTGTTTTTCACAGCAGTGTCTCTATCCGAAGACAGAACCTGACTGAGTCACCCTCTGTCCGAAGACAGAAGTCTTCTCAGTCGCAAGCCAGACAGGGGAACAGCCTAACTCCAACTTGTCTGTTTTTTTTAGCAGTGTCTCTATCCGAAGACAGAACCCGGACTAAGTCACCTCTGCACGAAGACAGAAGTCTTCTCAGTCGAAACCAGACAGAGAACAGCCCCTAAATCCAACTTGTCTGTTTTTCACAGCAGTGTCTCTATCCGAAGACAGAACCTGGATCTGAGACACCTTCTCAGTGCACCAGAAGACAGAACCCGTCTTCTATCGAAGACCCTCTGTCCGAGAAATCTTCTCAGTCGCAAGCCAGACAGAGAACAGCCTAACCCAACTTGTCTGTTTTTCACAGCAGTGTCTCTATCCGAAGACAGAACCGGACTGAGTCACCCTCTGCACGAAGACAGAAGTCTTCTCAGTCGCAAGCCAGACAGAGAACAGCCTAACTCCAACTTGTCTGTTTTCACAGCAGTGTCTCTATCCGAAGACAGAACCCGGACTGAGTCACCCTCTGCACGAAGACAGAAGTCTTCTCAGTCGCAAGCCAGACAGAGAACAGCCTAACTCCAACTAGTCTGTTTTTCACAGCAGTGTCTCTATCCGAAGACAGAACCCGGACTGAGTCACCCTCTGTCCGAAGACAGAAGTCTTCTCAGCAAGCCAGACAGAACAGCCTAACTCCAACTTGTCTGTTTTTCACAGCAGTGTCTCTATCCGAAGATAGAACCCGGACTGAGTCACCCTCTGCACGAAGACAGAAGTCTTTTCAGTCGCAAGTCAGACAGAGAACAGCCTAACTCCAACTAGTCTGTTTTTCACAGCAGTGTCTCTATCTGAAGACAGAACCTGGACTGAGTCACCCTCTGCACGAAGACAGAAGTCTTCTCCCAGTCGCAAGCCAGACAGAGAACAGCCCAACCCAACTTGTCTGTTTTTCCCAGCAGTGTCTCTATCCGAAGACAGAACCCGGACTGAGTCTCTGTCGAAGACAGAAGTCTTCTTCAGTCGCAAGCCAGACAGAGAACAGCCTAACTCCAACTTGTCTGTTTTTCACAGCAGTGTCTCTATCCGAAGATTTTAACCCGGACTGAGTCACCCTCTGTCACGAAGACAGAAGTCTTCTCAGTCGCAAGCCAGACAGAGAACAGCCTAACTCCAACTTGTCTGTTTTTCACAGCAGTGTCTCTATCCGAAGACAGAACCCGGACTGAGTCACCCTGCACGAAGAAAGAAGTTTTCTCCAGTCGCAAAGCCAGACAGAGAACAGCCTAACTCCAACTTGTCTGTTTTTCACAGCAGTGTCTCTATCCAAGACAGAACCTGGACTGAGTCACCCTCTGCACGAAGACAGAAGTCTTCTCAGTCGCCAAGCCAGACAGAGAACAGCCTAACTCCAACTAGTCTGTTTTCACAGCAGTGTCTCTATCCGGACAGAACCTGTCTGAGTAATCTCTGTCCGAAAGAAGTCTTCTCAGAAGCCAGACAGGACAGCCCTAACTCAACTTGTCTCTGTCCGAAGACAGAACCTGGACTGAGTCACCTTCTGCACGAAGACAAGAAGTCTTCAGACAGAGAACAGCCTAACTCCAGCTAGTCTGTTTTTCACAGCAGTGTCTATAACCGAAGACAGAACCTGGACTGAGTCACCTCTGCACGAAGACAGAAGTCTTTTTGTGTCGCAAGCCAGACAGAGAACAGCCTAACTCCAACTTGTCTGTTTTTCAGAGCAGTGTCTCTATCCGAAGACAGAACCCGGACTGAGTCACCCCTGCTCCAAGACAGAAGTCTTCTCAGTCGCAAGCCAGACAGAGAACAGCCAACTCCAACTTTGTCTGTTTTTTCAGCGGTGTCTCTATCCGAAGACAGAACCCGGACTGATATCCCACCCCTCTGCAATTATTTCCGAAGACAGAAGGACTTCTCAAGTCAGCAAGCCAGACAGAGAACAGCCTAACTCCAACTTGTCTGTTTTTCACAGCAGTGTCTCTATCCGAAGACAGAACCCGGACTGAGTCACCTCTGCACGAAGACAGAAGTCTTCTCCAGTCGCAATCCAGACAGAGAACAGCCTAACTCCAACTTGTCTGTTTTTCACAGCAGTGTCTCTATCCGAAGACAGAACCCGGACTGAGTCACCCTCTGTCCGAAGACAGAAGTCTTCTCAGTCGCAAGCCAGACAGAGAACAGCCTAACTCCAACTTGTCTGTTTTTCACAGCAGTGTTTCTATCCGAAGACAGAACCTACTGAGACACCCCTAACGAAGACAGAAGTCTTCCGCGAAGCCAGACAGAGAACACCCTCCAACTTTTGTCTGTTTTTCACAGCAATCCGAAGACAGAACCCGGACTGAGTCTTCTCAAAGACAGAAGTCTTCCAGTCGCAAACCAGACAGAGAACAGCCTAACAAACTTGTCTGTTTTTCACAGCAGTGTCTCTATCCGAAGACAGAACCCCGGACTGAGTCACCTCTGCACGAAGACAGAAGTCTTCTCAGTCGCAAACCAGACAGAGAACAGCCTAACTCTGTTTTTCACAGCAGTCTCTATCCAAGACAGAACCCGACTGAGTCACCTAAGACAAAGTCTTCAGTCGCAAAGGACAGGAAACAGCACTATCCGAAGACAGAACCCGGACAACTTGACTGAGTCACCCTCTGCACGAAGACAGAAGTCTTCTCAGTCGCAAGCCAGACAGAGAACAGCCTAACTCCAACTTGTCTGTTTTTCACAGCAGTGTCTCTATCCGAAGACAGAACCCGGACTGAGTCACCCTCTGTCCGAAGAGCACTTCTCAGTCGCAAGCCAGACAGAGAACAGCCTAACTCCAACTTGTCTGTTTTTCAGCAGTGTCTCTATCCGAAGACAGAACCCGACTGAGTCACCCTCTGTCACGAAGACAGAAGTCTTCTCAGTCGAAACATGTCCAGACAGAGAACAGCCTAACTCCAACTTCTGTTTTTCACAGCAGTGTCTCTCATCAAGACAGAACCCGTCTGAGTCACCCTCTGCACGAAGACAGAAGTTTTTCACAGACAGAGAACAGCCTAACTCCATCTGTCTGTTTTTCACAGCAGTGTCTATATCGAAGACAGAACCCGGACTGAGTCACCCTCTGCATGGAAGACAGAAGTCTTCTCAGTCGTGACAGACAGAGAACAGCCTAACTCCAACTTGTCTGTTTTTCACAGCAGTGTCTCTATCCGAAGACAGAACCCGGACTGAGTCACCCTCTGCACGAAGACAGAAGTCTTCTCAGTCGCAAAGCCAGACAGAGAACAGCCTAACTCCAACTTGTCTGTTTTTTCACAGCAGTGTCTCTATCCGAAGACAGAACCCGGACTGAGTCACCCTCTGCACGAAGACAGAAGTCTTCTCAGTCGCAAGCCAGACAGAGAACAGCCTAACTCCAACTTGTCTGTTTTTCACAGCAGTGTCTCTATCCGAAGACAGAACCCGGACTGAGTCACCCTGCACGAAGACAGAAGTCTTCTCAGTCGCAAAGCCAGACAGAGAACAGCCTAACTCCAACTTGTCTGTTTTTCACAGCAGTGTCTCTATCCGAAGACAGAACCCGGACTGAGTCACCCTCTGCACGAAGACAGAAGTCTTCTCAGTCGCAAGCCAGACAGAGAACAGCCTAACTCCAACTTGTTTTTTGTTTTTTTCACAGAACCCGAGTGTCTCTATCCGAAGACAGAACCCGGACTGAGTCACCCTCTGCCGAAGACAGAACCCAACTGAGTCTTCTCAGTCAGAAGCCAGACAGAGGAACAGCCTAACTCCAACTTGTCTGTTTTTCACAGCAGTGTCTCTATCCGAAGACAGAACCCGGACTGAGTCACCCTCTGCCCGAAGACAGAAGTCTTCTCAGTCGTGCCAGACAGAGAACAGCCTAACTCCAGCTTGTCTGTTTTTTCACAGCAGTGTCTCTATCCGAAGACAGAACCCGGACTGAGTCACCCTCTGCACGAAGACAGAAGTCTTCTCAGTCGCAAACCAGACAGAGAACAGCCTAACTCCAACTTGTCTGTTTTTTCACAGCAGTGTCTCTATCCAAGACAGAACCCGACTGAGTCACCCTCTGTCCGAAGACAGAAGTCTTCTCAGTCGCAAGCCAGACAGAGAACAGCCTAACTCCAACTTGTCTGTTTTTCACAGCAGTGTCTCTATCCGAAGACAGAACCGGACTGAGTCACCCTCTGCACCGAAGACAGAAGTCTTCTCAGTCGCAAGCCAGACAGAGAACAGCCCTAACTCCAACTTGTCTGTTTTTCACAGCAGTGTCTCTATCCGAAGACAGAACCCGGACTGAGTCACCCCTCTGTCAACGAAGACAGAAGTCTTCTCAGTCGCAAGCCAGACAGAGAACAGCCTAACTCCAACTTGTCTGTTTTTCACAGCAGTGTCTCTATCCGAAGACAGAACCCGACTGAGTCACCCTCTGTCCGAAGACAGAAGTCTTCTCAGTCGCAAAGGATAGACAGAGAACAGCCTAACTCCAACTCTGTTTTTCAGCAGTGTCTCTATCCGAAGACAGAACCCGGACTGAGTCACCCTCTGTCCGAAGACAGTGCTCGCAAGCCAGACAGAGAACAGCCTAACTCCAACTTGTCTGTTTTCACAGCAGTGTCTCTATCCGAAGACAGAACCCGGACTGAGTCACCCTCTGCACGAAGACAGAAGTCTTCTCAGTCGCAAACCAGACAGAGAACAGCCTAACTCCAACTTGTCTGTTTTTCACAGCAGTGTCTCTATCCGAAGACAGAACCCGGACTGAGTCCCTCTGTCCACTCTGTCTGAAGACTCTGTCCGAAGACAGAAGAGAACTTCTCAGTCACAGGAAAGTGACAGAGAACAGCCTAACTCCAGCATCTGTCTCTGTTTTCACAGCAGTGTCTCTATCCGAAGACAGAACCCGGACTGAGTCACCTCTGTCCGAAGACAGAAGTCTTCTCAGTCGCAAGCCAGACAGAGAACAGCCTAACTCCAGCATCTGTTTTCACAGCAGTGTCTCTATCCGAAGACAGAACCCGGACTGAGTCACCCTCTGCACGAAGACAAAGTCTTCTCAGTCGCAAGCCAGACAGAGAACAGCCTAACTCCAACTTGTCTGTTTTCACAGCAGTGTCTCTATCCGAAGACAGAACCGGACTGAGTCACCCTCTGCACGAAGACAGAAGTCTTCTCAGTCGCAAGCCAGACAGAGAACAGCCTAACTCCAACTTGTCTGTTTTTCACAGCAGTGTCTCTATCCGAAGACAGAACCCGGACTGAGTCACCCTCTGTCCGAAGACAGAAGTCTTCTCAGTCGCAAGCCAGACAGAGAACAGCCTAACTCCAACTTGTCTGTTTGTTTTTATCCGAAGACAGAACCACTGTCACCCTCTGTCCGAAGACAAAGTCTTCTCATCCGAACAGAAAGAACCCAACTTGGACTGCAGTCATCCGAAGACAGGGCCGGACTGCACCTCTGAAAGACAGAAGTCTTCTCAGTCGCAAGCCAGACAGAGAACAGCCTAACTCCAACTTGTCTGTTTTTCACAGCAGTGTCTCTATCCGAAGACAGAACCCGGACTGAGTCACCCTCTGTCCGAAGACAGAAGTCTTCTCAGTCGCAAGCCAGACAGAAACAGCCTAACTCCAACTTGTCTGTTTTTCACAGCAGTGTCTCTATCCGAAGACAGAACCCTCTGACTGAGTCACCTCAGTCTGTCCGAAGACAGAAGTCTTCTATCACCCTCTGTCAAAGTCAGAAATAGACAGAGAACAGCCTAACTCCAACTTGTCTGTTTTTCACAGCAGTGTCTCTATCCGAAGACAGAACCCGGACTGAGTCACCCTCTGTCCGAAGACAGAAGTCTTCAGTCGCAAGCCAGACAGAGAACAGCCTAACTCCAACTTGTCTGTTTTTCACAGCAGTGTCTCTATCCGAAGACAGAACCATACTGAGTCACCCTCTGCATATAGACAGAAGTCTTCTCAGTCGCAAGCCAGACAGAGAACAGCCTAACTCCAACTTGTCTGTTTTTCAGTAAAGTGTCTCTATCCGAAGACAGAACCTGACTGAGTCACCCTCTGTCCGAAGACAGAAGGACTTCCAGTCTGCACGAAACCAGACAGAGAACAGCAACCCCAACTTGTCTGTTTTTCAAGCAGTGTTCTCAGTCAGAACCCGGAAGCCAAGACAGAAATCTTCTCAACAAGCCTAACTCCAACTTGTCTGTTTTTCACAGCAGTGTCTCTATCCGAAGACAGAACCCGGACTGAGTCACCCTCTGTCCGAAGACAGAAGTCTTCTCAGTCGCAAGCCAGACAGAGAACAGCCTAACTCCAACTTGTCTGTTTTCACAGCAGTGTCTCTATCCGAAGACAGAACCGGACTGAGTCACCCTCTGCACGAAGACAGAAGTCTTCTCAGTCGCAAGCCAGACAGAGAACAGCCTAACTCCAACTTGTCTGTTTTTCACAGCAGTGTCTCTATCCGAAGACAGAACCCGACTGAGTCACCCTCTGTCCGAAGACAGAAGTCTTCTCAGTCGCAAGCCAGACAGAGAACAGCCTAACTCCAACTTGTCTGTTTTTCACAGCAGTGTCTCTATCCGAAGACAGAACCCGGACTGAGTCACCCTCTGTCCGAAGACAGAAGTCTTCTCAGTCGCAAGCCAGACAGAGAACAGCCTAACTCCAACTTGTCTGTTTTTCACAGCAGTGTCTCTATCCGAAGACAGAACCCGGACTGGAGTCACCCTCTGTCCGAAGACAGAAGTCTTCTCAGTCGCAAGCCAGACAGAGAACAGCCTAACTCCAACTTGTCTGTTTTTCACAGCAGTGTCTCTATCCGAAGACAGAACCCGGACTGAGTCACCCTCTGTCACGAAGACAGAAGTCTTCTCAGTCGCAAGCCAGACAGAGAACAGCCCTAACTCCAACTTGTCTGTTTTTCACAGCAGTGTCTCTATCCGAAGACAGAACCCTGAGTCACCCTCTGCAGTCTTCTCAGTCCCCAGACAGAGAACAGCCCTAACTGCAACGAATCCGAAGACAGAACCCGGACTGAGTCTTCCGAAGACAGTCTTCTCAGTCAAAGCCAGACAGAGAACAGCCTAACTCCAACTTGTCTGTTTTTCACAGCAGTGTCTCTATCTTCGAAGACAGAACCCGGACTGAGTCACCCTCTGCACGAAGACAGAAGTCTTCTCAGTCGCAAGCCAGACAGAGAACAGCCTAACTCCAACTTGTCTGTTTTTCACAGCAGTGTCTCTATCCGAAGACAGAACCCGGACTGAGTCACCCTCTGCACGAAGACAGAAGTCTTCTCAGTCGCAAGCCAGACAGAGAACAGCCTAACTCCAACTTGTCTGTTTTTCACAGCAGTGTCTCTATCCGAAGACAGAACCCGGACTGAGTCACCCTCTGCACGAAGACAGAAGTCTTCTCAGTCATAAGCCAGACAGAGAACAGCCTAACTCCAACTTGTCTGTTTTCACAGCAGTGTCTCTATCCGAAGACAGAACCCGGACTGGAGTCACCCTCTGCACGAAGACAGAAGTCTTCTCAGTCGCAAGCCAGACAGAGAACAGCCTAACTCCAACTTGTCTGTTTTTCACAGCAGTGTCTCTATCCGAAGACAGAACCCGGACTGAGTCACCCTCTGTCCGAAGTCAGAAGTCTTCTCAGTCGCAAGCCAGACAGAGAACAGCCTAACTCCAACTTGTTTTTTCTGTTTTTCAAGACAGCAGTGTCTCTATCCGAAGAAGACAGAACCAGACAGAGACTGCCCTAGTCACCCTCTCTCTATCCGGAAGAAGACCCGGAGAAGTCTTCTCAGTCGCAAGCCAGACAGAGAACAGCCCTAACTCCAACTTGTCTGTTTTCACAGCAGTGTCTCTATCCGAAGACAGAACCGGACTGAGTCACCCTCTGTCCGAAGACAGAAGTCTTCTCAGTCGCAAGCCAGACAGAGAACAGCCTAACTCCAACTTGTCTTTTCACAGTTGTCTTCACAGCACTGGTCACCCTCTGTCCGAAGACAGAAGTTATCCGAAGAACAGCCCTAACTCCAACTTGTCTGTTTTTCACAGCAGTGTCTCTATCCTCTGCACCCTCTGTCCGAAGACAGAAGTCTTCTCAGTCGCCTGCCAGACAGAGAACAGCCTAACTCCAACTTGTCTGTTTTTCACAGCAGTGTCTCTATCCGAAGACAGAACCCGGACTGAGTCACCCTCTGTCTCTATCGAAGACAGAACCCGGACTTCTCAGTCGCAAGCCAGACAGAGAACAGCCTAACTCCAACTTGTCTGTTTTTTCTGGCAGCAGTGTCTCTATCCGAAGACAGAACCCGGACTGAGTCACCCTCTGTCCGAAGACAGAAGTCTTCTCAGTCGCAAGCCAGACAGAGAACAGCCCTAACTCCAACTTGTCTGTTTTTTCAGCAGTGTCTCTATCCGAAGACAGAACCCGGACTGAGTCACCCTCTGCACGAAGACAGAAGTCTTCTCAGTCGCAAGCCAGACAGAGAACAGCCTAACTCCAACTTGTCTGTTTTTCACAGCAGTGTCTCTATCCGAAGACAGAACCCGGACTGAGTCACCCTCTGTCCGAAGACAGAAGTCTTCTCAGTCGCAAATAGACAGAGAACAGCCTAACTCCAACTTGTCTGTTTTTCACAGCAGTGTCTCTATCCGAAGACAGAACCCGGACTGAGTCACCCTCTGCACGAAGACAGAAGTCTTCAGTCGCAAGCCAGACAGAGAACAGCCTAACTCCAACTAGTCTGTTTTTCACAGCAGTGTCTCTATCCGAAGACAGAACCGGACTGAGTCACCCTCTGCACGAAGACAGAAGTCTTCTGTTTTTTCAGTCGCAAGCCCGGACTGACAGAGAACAGTCCAATTTAACTCCAACTTGTCTGTTTTCACAGCAGTGTCTCTAACCGAAGACAGAACCCGGACTGGTCACCCCTCTGTCCGAAGACAGAAGTCTTCTCAGTCGCAAGCCAGACAGAGAACAGCCTAACTCAACTTGTCTGTTTTTTCACAGCAGTGTCTCTATCCGAAGACAGAACCTGACTGAGTCACCCTCTGTCCGAAGACAGAAGTCTTCTCAGTCGCAAGCCAGACAGAGAACAGCCTAACTCCAACTTGTCTGTTTTTATCACAGCAGTGTCTCTATCCGAAGACAGAACCCGGACTGAGTCACCCTCTGTCCGAAGACAGAAGTCTTCTCAGTCGCAAGCCAGACAGAGAACAGCCTAACTCCAACTTGTCTGTTTTCACAGCAGTGTCTCTATCCGAAGACAGTGTCTCTATGCACGAACAGAAGTCTTCTCAGTCGCAAGCCAGACAGAAATGCCTAACTCCAACCCTCTGTCTCTATCCGAAGATAGAACCCGGACTGACCTCTGTCCGAAGTCTGTCCGAGAAGTCTTCTCAGTCTTCTCAGTCGCAAGCCAGACAGAGAACAGCCTAACTCCAACTTGTCTGTTTTTCACAGCAGTGTCTCTATCCGAAGACAGAACCCGGACTGAGTCACCCTCTGCACGAAGACAGAAGTCTTCTCAGTCGCAAGCCAGACAGAGAACAGCCTAACTCCAACTTGTCTGTTTTTCACAGCAGTGTCTCTATCCGAAGACAGAACCCGGACTGAGTCACCCTCTGTCCGAAGACAGAAGTCTTCTCAGTCGCAAGCCAGACAGAGAACAGCCTAACTCCAACTTGTCTGTTTTTCACAGCAGTGTCTCTATCCGAAGACAGAACCCGGACTGAGTCACCCTCTGCCGAAGACAGAAGTCTTCTCAGTCGCAAGTTTTTCAGAGAACAGCCCTAACTCCAACTTGTCTGTTTTTCACAGCAGTGTCTCTATCCGAAGACAGAACCCGGACTGAGTCACCCTCTGTCCGAAGACAGAAGTCTTCTCAGTCGCAAAGCCAGACAGAGAACAGCCTAACTCCAACTTGTCTGTTTTTCACAGCAGTGTCTCTATCCGAAGACAGAACCTCCAGGACTGAGTCACCCTCTGTCCGAAGACAGAAGTCTTCTCAGTCGCAAGCCAGACAGAGAACAGCCTAACTCCAACTCTGTCTGTTTTCTCAGTCGCAAGCAGTGTCTCTATCCGAAGACAGAACCCGGACTGAGTCACCTCTGTCCGAAGACAGAAGTCTTCTCAGTCGCAAACCAGACAGAGAACAGCCTAACTCCAACTTGTCTGTTTTTCTGCACAGCAGTGTCTCTATCCGAAGACAGAACCCGGACTGAGTCACCCTCTGCACGAAGACAGAAGTCTTCTCAGTCGCAAGCCAGACAGAGAACAGCCTAACTCCAACTTGTCTGTTTTCACAGCAGTGTCTCTATCCGAAGACAGAACCGGACTATCGAAGACAGAACCCGGACTGAGTCACCCTCTGTCCGAAGACAGACCAGACAGAGAACAGCCTAACTCCAACTTGTCTGTTTTCACATTAGTCTCTACCGAAGACAGAACCGGACTGAGTCACCCCTATCCGAAGACAGAAGTCTTCAGTCGAAGCCAGACAGAGAACAGCCCTCCAACTTGTCTGTTTTTCACAGCAGTGTCTCTATCCGAAAACAGAACCCGGACTGAGTCACCCTGCAAGAAGTCTTCAGTCGTAAGCCAGACAGAACAGCCTAACTCCAACTTGTCTGTTTTCTATCCGAAGACAGAACACGGACTCTATCCGAAGACAGAAGTCCCGGACAGAGAACACCCTCCAACTTGTCCGAAGTGTCTCTATCCGAAGACAGAACCGGACTTCTCAGTCTGCCGAAGACAGAAGTCTTCTCAGTCGCAACAGCCAGAGAACAGCCAACTCCAACTTGTCTGTTTTTCACAGCAGTGTCTCTATCCGAAGACAGAACCCGGACTGAGTCACCCTCTGTCCGAAGACAGAAGTCTTCTCAGTCGCAAGCCAGACAGCGAACAGCCTAACTCCAACTTGTCTGTTTTTCACAGCAGTGTCTCTATCCGAAGACAGAACCCGGACTGAGTCACCCTCTGCACGAAGACAGAAAGTCTTCTCAGTCCGAAGACAAGCCAGACAGAGAACAGCCTAACTCCAACTTGTCTGTTTTTCACAGCAGTGTCTCTATCCGAAGACAGAACCGGACTGTGTCACCCTCTGTCCGAAGACAGAAATCTTCTCAGTCACAAGCCAGACAGAGAACAGCCCTAACTCCAACTTGTCTGTTTTTTTCACAGCAGTGTCTCTATCCGAAGACAGAACCTGGACTGAGTCACCCTCTGCACGAAGACAGAAGTCTTCTCAGTCACAAGCCAGACAGAGAACAGCCTAACTCCAACTTGTCTGTTTTTCACAGCAGTGTCTCTATCCGAAGACAGAACCTGGACTGAGTCACCCTCTCCGAAGACAGAAGTCTTCTCAGTCGCAAGCCAGACAGAGAACAGCCTAACTCCAACTTGTCTGTTTTTCACAGCAGTGTCTCTATCCGAAGACAGAACCCGGACTGAGTCACCCTCTGTCCGAAGACAGAAGTCTTCTCAGTCGCAAGCAGAGAACAGCCTAACTCCAACTTGTCTGTTTTTCACAGCAGTGTCTCTATCCGAAGACAGAACCCGGACTGAGTCACTCTGTCCAAAGACAGAAGTCTTGCCCTCTCAGTCGCAAGCCTTCTCAGACAGAGAACAGCCTAACTCCAACTTGTCTGTTTTTCACAGCAGTGTCTCTATCCGAAGACAGAACCCGGACTGAGTCACCCTCTGTCCGAAGACAGAAGTCTTCTCAGTCGCAAGAACAGACAGAGAACAGCCCCGGAACCTCCAACAGAAGTCTGTTTTTCACAGAGAACAGCAGTGTCTCTTTCCACAGACAGAACCCGGACTGAGTCACCCTCTGTCCGAAGACAGAAGTCTTCTCAGTCGCAAGCCAGACAGAGAACAGCCCTAACTCCAACTTGTCTGTTTTTTCACAGCAGTGTCTCTATCCGAAGACAGAACCCGACTGAGTCACCTCTGTCCGAAGACAGAAGTCTTCTCAGTCGCAAAGCCAGACAGAGAACAGCCCTAACTCCAACTTGTCTGTTTTTCACAGCAGTGTCTCTATCCGAAGACAGAACCGGACTGAGTCACCTCTCTGTCCGAAGACAGAAGTCTTCTCAGTCGCAAAGCCAGACAGAGAACAGCCTAACTCCAACTTGTCTGTTTTTCACAGCAGTGTCTCTATCCGAAGACAGAACCCGGACTGAGTCACCCTCTGTCCGAAGACAGAAGTCTTCTCAGTCGCAAGCCAGACAGAGAACAGCCCTAACTCCAACTTGTCTGTTTTTCACAGCAGTGTCTCTATCCGAAGACAGAACCCGGACTGAGTCACCCCCTCTGCACGAAGACAGAAGTCTTCTCAGTCGCAAGCCAGACAGAGAACAGCCTAACTCCAACTTTCTGTTTTCACAGCAGTGTCTCTATCCGAAGACAGAACCGGACTGAGTCACCCTCTGTCCGAAGACAGAAGTCTTCTCAGTCGCAAGCCAGACAGAGAACAGCCCTAACTCCAACTTGTCTGTTTTTCACAGCAGTGTCTCTATCCGAAGACAGAACCGGACTGAGTCACCCTCTGCACGAAGACAGAAGTCTTCTCAGTCGCAAAGCCAGACAGAGAACAGCCTAACTCCAACTTGTCTGTTTTTCACAGCAGTGTCTCTATCCGAAGACAGAACCCGGACTGAGTCACCCTCCGCAAGAAGACAGAAGTCTTCTCAGTCGCAAGCCAGACAGAGAACAGCCTAACCCAACTTGTCTGTTTTTCACAGCAGTGTCTCTATCCGAAGACAGAACCCTGGACTGCACGTCACCCTCTGTCCGAAGACAGAGAACAGCCTTCTCAGTCGTTTTTCACAGCAGTGTTCTATCCGAAAGCCAGACAGAGAACAGCCTAACTCCAACTTGTCTGTTTTTTTCACAGCAGTGTCTCTATCCGAAGACAGAACCCGGACTGAGTCACCCTCTGTCCGAAGACAGAAGTCTTCTCAGTCGCAAGCCAGACAGAGAACAGCCTAACTCCAACTTGTCTGTTTTTTCACAGCAGTGTCTCTATCCGAAGACAGAACCCCGGACTGAGTCACCTCTGTCTCTATCCAGACAGAGAACAGCCTAACTCCAACCCACAGCAGTGTCTCTAACCGAAACAGAACCCGGACTGAGTCACCTCTGTCTGAAGACAGAAGTCTTCTCAGTCGCAAGCCAGACAGAGAACAGCCTAACCCAACTTGTCTGTTTTTCACAGCAGTGTCTCTATCCGAAGACAGAACCCGACTGAGTCACCCTCTGTCCGAAGTCAGAAGTCTTCTCAGCCAGACAGAGAACAGCCTAACTCCAACTTGTCTGTTTTTCACAGCAGTGTCTCTATCCGAAGACAGAACCCGGACTGAGTCACTCTCTGTCCGAAGACAGAAGTCTTCTCAGTCGCAAGCCAGACAGAGAACAGCCTAACTCCAACTTGTCTGTTTTTCACAGCAGTGTCTCTATCCGAAGACAGAACCCGGACTGAGTCACCCTCTGCACGAAGACAGAAGTCTTCTCAGTCGCAAGCCAGACAGAGAACAGCCTAACTCCAGCTAGTCTGTTTTTCACAGCAGTGTCTCTATCCGAAGACAGAACCCGGACTGAGTCACCCTCTGTCCGAAGACAGAAGTCTTCTCAGTCGCAAGCCAGACAGAGAACAGCCTAACTCCAACTTGTCTGTTTTCTGCACAGCAGTGTCTCTAACCGAAGACAGAACCCGGACTGTGTCACCTCTGACTAAGACAGAAGTCTTCCCTCAGCCTAACCCAACTTGTCTGTTTTTCACAGCAGTGTCTCTATCCGAAGGCAGAACCGGACTGAGTCACCCTCTGCACGAAGACAGAAGTCTTCTCAGTCGCAAGCCAGACAGAGAACAGCCTAACTCCAGAGTCTGTTTTTCACAGCAGTGTCTCTATCCGAAGACAGAACCCAGGACTGAGTCCTACCTCTGTCCGAAGACAGAAGTCTGGAGTCTCAGTCGCAAGCCAGACAGAGAACAGCCTAACTCCAACATCTGTTTTTCACAGCAGTGTCTCTATCCGAAGACAGAACCCGGACTGAGTCACCCTCTGTCCGAAGACAGAAGTCTTCTCAGTCGCAAGCCAGACAGAGAACAGCCTAACTCCAACTTGTCTGTTTTTCACAGCAGTGTCTCTATCCGAAGACAGAACCCGGACTGAGTCACCCTCTGTCCGAAGACAGAAGTCTTCTCAGTCGCAAGCCCAGACAGAGAACAGCCTAACTCCAACTTCTGTCTGTTTTTCACAGCAGTGTCTCTATCCGAAGACAGAACCCGACTGAGTCACCCTCTGTCCGAAGACAGAAGTCTTCTCAGTCGCAAGCCAGACAGAGAACAGCCCTAACTCCAACTTAATTCTGTTTTTCACAGCAGTGTCTCTATCCGAAGACAGAACCCGGACTGAGTCACCCTCTGTCCGAAGACAGAAGTCTTCTCAGTCGCAAGCCAGACAGAGAACAGCCTAACTCCAACTTGTCTGTTTTTCACAGCAGTGTCTCTATCCGAAGACAGAACCCGGACTGAGTCACCCTCTGTCCGAAGACAGAAGTCTTCTCAGTCGCAAGCCAGACAGAGAACAGCCTAACTCCAACTTGTCTGTTTTTTTCACAGCAGTGTCTCTATCCGAAGACAGAACCCGGACTGTGTCACCCTCTGCACGAAGACAGAAGTCTTCTCAGTCGAAAGCCAGACAGAGAACAGCCTAACTCCAACTTGTCTGTTTTTCTGTCTATCCGAAGACAGAACCTTTTGCACGAAGACAGAAGTCTTCTCAGTCGCACACAGAGAACAGAAGTCTGTTTTTCTATCCGAAGACAGAACCCGGACTGAGTCACCCTCTGCACGAAGACAGAAGTCTTCTCAGTCGCAAGCCAGACAGAGAACAGCCTAACTCCAACTTGTCTGTTTTTCACAGCAGTGTCTCTATCCGAAGACAGAACCCGGACTGAGTCACCCTCTGTCCGAAGACAGAAGTCTTCTCAGTCGCAAGCCAGACAGAGAACAGCCTAACTCCAACTTGTCTGTTTTTCACAGCAGTGTCTCTATCCGAAGACAGAACCTGGACTGAGTCACCCTCTGTCCGAAGACAGAAGTCTTCTCAGTCGCAAGCCAGACAGAGAACAGCCTAACTCCAACTTGTCTGTTTTTCACAGCAGTGTCTCTATCCGAAGACAGAACCCGGACTGAGTCACCCTGTCTGTCCAGTCGCAAGCCAGACAGAGAACAGCCTAACTTCTGTCTGTTTTTTCAGCAGTGTCTCTATCCGAAAACAGAACCCGCCAGACAGAAGAGAGAACTTCTCCAGCCTAGACAGAGAACAGCCTAACTCCAACTTGTCTGTTTTTTCACAGCAGTGTCTCTATCCGAAGACAGAACCCGGACTGAGTCACCCTCCGAAGTGTCTTCGAAGAACAGCCTAACTCCAACTTGTCTGTTTTTCACAGCAGTGTCTCTATCCGAAGACAGAACCCGGACTGAGTCACCCTCTGTCCGAACAGTCTTCTCAGTCGCAAGCCAGACAGAGAACAGCCTAACTCCAACTTGTCTGTTTTTCACAGCAGTGTCTCTATCCGAAGACAGAACCTGACTGAGTCACCCTCTGCACGAAGACAGAAGTCTTCTCAGTCGCAAGCCAGACAGAGAACAGCCCTAACTCCAACTTGTCTGTTTTTCACAGCAGTGTCTCTATCCGAAGACAGAACCCGGACTGAGTCACCCTCTGTCCGAAGACAGAAGTCTTCCTTCTCAGTCGCAAGCCAGACAGAGAACAGCCTAACTCCAACTTGTCTGTTTTTTTCACAGCAGTGTCTCTATCCGAAGACAGAACCCGGACTGAGTCACCCTCTGTCCGAAGACAGAAGTCTTCTCAGTCGCAAGCCAGACAGAGAACAGCCTAACTCCAACTTGTCTGTTTTTCACAGCAGTGTCTCTATCCGAAGACAGAACCCGGACTGAGTCACCCTCTGTCCGAAGTCAGAAGTCTTCTCAGTCGCAAGCCAGACAGAGAACAGCCTAACTCCAACTTGTCTGTTTTTCACAGCAGTGTCTCTATCCGAAGACAGAACCCGGACTGAGTCACCCTCTGCACGAAGACAGAAGTCTTCTCAGTCGCAAGCCAGACAGAGAACAGCCTAACTCCAACTTGTCTGTTTTTCACAGCAGTGTCTCTATCCGAAGACAGAACCCGGACTGTGTCACCCTCTGCACGAAGACAGAAGTCTTCTCAGTCGCAAGCCAGACAGAGAACAGCCTAACTCCAACTTGTCTGTTTTTCACAGCAGTGTCTCTATCCGAAGACAGAACCCGGACTGAGTCACCTCTGCACGAAGACAGAAGTCTTCTGAAGCCAGACAGAGAACAGCCTAACTCCAACTTGTCTGTCCAGTGTCTCATCCGAAGACAGAACCCGGACTGAGTCACCCCCTGCACGAAGACAGAAGTCTCAGTCGTAAATAACAGAGAACAGCCTAACTCCAACTTGTCTGTTTTTCACAGCAGTGTCTCTATCCGAAGACAGAACCTGGACTGAGTCACCCTCTGTCCGAAGACAGAAGTCTTCTCAGTCGCAAGCCAGACAGAGAACAGCCTAACTCCAACTTGTCTGTTTTTCACAGCAGTGTCTCTATCCGAAGACAGAACCCGGACTGAGTCACCCTCTGTCAAAAGCGAAGTCAGAAGTCTTCAGTCGCAAGTCTCAGACAGAGAACAGCCTAACTCCAAACTTGTCTGTTTTTCTCACAGCAGTGTCTCTATCCGAAGACAGAAACCCGGACTGAGTCACCCTCTGTCCGAAGACAGAAGTCTTCTCAGTCGCAAGCCAGACAGAGAACAGCCCTAACTCCAACTTGTCTGTTTTTCACAGCAGTGTCTCTATCCGAAGACAGAACCCGACTGAGTCACCCTCTGTCCGAAGACAGAAGTCTTCTCAGTCGCAAGCCAGACAGAGAACAGCCTAACTCCAACTTGTCTGTTTTTCACAGCAGTGTCTCTATCCGAAGATTAGAACCTGACTGAGTCACCTGTCCGAAGACAGAAGTCTTCTCAGTCGCAAGTCAGACAGAGAACAGCCTAACTCCAACTTGTCTGTTTTTCACAGCAGTGTCATCCGAAGACAGAACCTGGACTGAAATGTCCGAAGACAGAAGTCTTCAGTCGTCAAGCCAGACAGAGACAGCCTAACTCCAACTTGTGTTTTTCACAGCAGTGTCATCCTATCCGAAGACAGAACCTTGGACTGAGTCACTCCTCTGCACGAAGACAGAAGTCTTCTAAAGTCGAAAGCCGGACAGAGAACAGCCTTCATCCAACTTGTCTGTTTCCGATTACAGCAGTGTTCTATCGTCAAGACAGAAACCCGGACTGAGTCACCTAGGTTACTGGTCACAGAACCCTGCCCCCGCAAGCCAGAAGAGAACAGTGGTTCCAACTTGTCTGTTTTTCTCAAGTGTCCATCCGAAGACAGAACCCGATCTGAGTCAGCTAGTCCGTCTGTCAGTGTCTCTAACCGCAAGACAGAGAACAGCTTGTGAACCTGTTTTTCACAGCAGTGTTCTATCTGAGAAGACAGAACTATTCACGAACCTCTGTTTTTCACAGCAGTGTTCTATCCGTAGACAGAACCCGGACTGTGTCACCTCTGCATGAAGACAGAAGTCTTTAGAGACAGAGAACAGCCTAACTCCAACTTGTCTGTTTTTTCACAGCAGTGTCTCTATCCGAAGACAGAACCCGGACTGTGTCAAGTTCTGTGCACGAAGACAGAAGTCTTCTGTCGCAAGCCAGACAGAGAACAGCCTAACTCCAACTTGTCTGTTTTCAACCGAAGACAGAACCCCTGAACGAGTCACTCTCTGCACGAAGACAGAAGTCTTCTGTCGCAAGCCAGACAGAGAACAGCCTAACTCCAACTTGTCTGTTTTTCACAGCAGTGTATCCGAAGACAGAACCTCTGAGTCACTTCACGTCGCAAGCCAGACAGAGAACTGCCTAACTCCAACTTGTTTTTCTGTTTTTATCGGTCGCACCACTACCTCTGCCTGA